AACTTGAGTTAGTCTTTATTATTTATTAAGGTTTCTCGTTTAAAATTTTGAAAACTATTTGCACGATAATTCGTCGAACGCCCACGAATATCAATGTCATCGTTGTGACAGATACGATTCGTCGCTGATATATGTATAATGTTGAGGTTTATGGGTGGTAATCGGACTTGCGATCTGCGATCGATTCCTCGCGATCGAGAGCGTCGCCGTTAAATCTAAAGCAGCAAACCCACGTCACTCCGGGATGAATGCCTGGCTGGGTCGGGCATTCTTCAAGTAAATTATAGTCTTGAATGGGTGGCGCGGCGGGGGGTTGGTTGGCACGCGCACCACTGGGGTACACCTGCCCCCCGTAGACATCTGTCCCCCTATGCGTCCAGAGCGCTGGAGTCAAACTATGGGGTACGTTTGCGTATACGTACATGAATACGTTTGTTGTCTACGTGTACGTACGTGGCAATTCTCGTCAAGTCTCTGTCATCAACTAGACGGTTTTACGAAACCGTCAATTTTCGCGACACCGATAATTATAGAATCGCCAAATAACGGCTGCTGGATAAGGTTCTCTTATATTAAGTTATTCTCCATGCTCGTTTATTATGCAAATACAAAATTATATTTTGAATTATAAATATATTACTCGAATTCCAAAAAATTCGGAGAGCTTTATTATATTTTATTATAAAATTAATTCCGAAAAAGCAATTTTGTGTTACATAGTATTTAAATATTGTCTGTGTCACATGTCTAAATAAATTACTTTATTCTTTCTATTAAGTTTAACTCTTAATAAAATAATAAATAATATATCTGGTTTTGATGTTCAAATTGCATTATGATAATACAAATAACAATTTTTGTTTTAATTTTATCCAAGCAAATATTCTTTTTAGAAGTATAATAAGATTTTCTATAAATTCATGTACTTAATAAATAATTCATAAGTCTTTCAATCGCTATTAATTTTTCTACTCACAACAGTACCGCTAATCTTAATAACACCAATGCATAAATGCACAGTATAATTTGTGCTCATTCTTCTGTAGACTTATCCGGCGATGCATTATGCGAGGGTACGCGCATTAATTCGCGGTCCATTCTAATTAATTTCATGAATCTCGGTACTGAGGGGAAGAGAGGAAAGCGCCGATCGGCCGCAACTCAAATAAGGCTTTCCATATTTTAGCGCGGACGAGTCATCGCGAATGGAGAAATCGTGGCGAGTTCCATGGTGTATCGGGGTTGGTTGGACGTGGTAGCGTAACCGGGGTATTGTTCGTGGTTTACCACAAAGGCCTGCAAATGCCGACTTGCAATGAAAAGCCGTCTACCCTGCATCTAAACAGATGCGGAGATAGAGAGAAACATGATGCTTACCGAATTTTCCGTTGGGGTGTACCCAGATATGTTTGCGAATAAACTTCCATTTAATAATATAATAAAACTTTAGTATTAATAATTAATTAATTTATCGGTTAAAAAAGAGAAACTAAGAAGAGAATTGAACATATCACTTTATTCTTTGCAAAACATTAAGACTGTCTCTATATTTTTGAATGATCGCGCTTATCGCAATCGTTTACGACGGCGACATGGAATTTGTTAATCAAGGATGACGTGATTACTGACTCGTGAAGCGAATTAGACCTTCAGCGAGAGGACAAGTCGCGCTCGAAGAGTTCTGGTCTGGCGAAGGCCACGGCCATTAATCTTCGATTAAGTGCTCAACGATCGGTCAAGGTAATTTCACGAGTTTTCCTGAATTAGGAAAGACCGTCTCACCCTCCTGATGACCGTGCCCCCGTGCCCGATCCCGCCGTTCCCCTCGTCGCCGTGTCGGTCCCTCTTTCTACGGGGGGAATTACCGTCTCTGTCAGCCACCAGTATGTCACCATACAGACCAGCGCGCCGGTACAATGAGGGCCGACTGTGGCGATCGATATGCGCACTCGACGGAAACGACACGAGAGGTCGATCGAAGCGAAATCACTGTCTGCAATGCGCAAAAAAAAAAAAAAAAAAATCGTACGTTCAAGAAATGATAAAAGTCATTAATCGCTTTATTTATGAACCCCGCTTGCTCCCGCATCTATAAATCGTCATATATTTTAAAAAAGAAAAATATCTTTTCCACGGAACGCGAAATAAATAATCAAGATTATATTGCTTTGCAATTAGCAGTTAAACATTCTTTTTATCGGATAATTAACTAAAACATATTATAATTATTATTAATAAAATAGTAGAAAAGGCATGGAAAAATATGGAAAAAGAGAGAAATATGTTTAATGCAGGTTTTAAAAAAAAATTAATTCCAAAAAAATACATAGATAAAATTTCTGAACGCTATTGAAAATATTCTGCGATAAAAACAAGTGATAGAACTTTGTTGCGCCCGTTTAAGCGTTATTATCTTTTTTTTACTACGTAGACATAGTTACGGGATGTAAGCCCTTAGCAAAAACTGATTGAATCCCCCAAAATCCAACACCTTTATAGATGCTGGCCGTCTGTCGCGCGCTATGCACACATTGATATATCGTCCGCATAATGGCGCCATTGAGGCATTACTATTATTGGCGAGATTTGGGGAAACGATCGAGCGTACTAACGGATTCGTCGCAGCTTGCACGCTGTTTGCAAATAGATCTTGTATAGGAAATTATTGTTCACACAGTAGTCTTGATGGATCGATGCGCCTGAATTAACGATTTGTTAAATCATCTAAGTTTACACATTTATTCCTAAAAATATTAATTTCTAAAATAAAATTGATACAACAAGAAATGTATAAGTAATATTTAACTTTTTAACTAAAAGAATGATTAAAATTATCTCATTATAATGACCGGATGTATCTTAATAAAAAAATCTAAATTATAAAAGAGTTATTACATTAAAATAAAGGAGCAAAAATAGTCGATAAAAATAAAATAAGATAAATTCAATATGTGACGTATTTTTAATTGAATAATATTTCCGCAATAGTTATGTAACCGTAGATCAATATTATCGCGGCGAACGGGTGAAAATGGGTAAGAATGGGTCTTGGAAGTGGAGTAAAATTTCCTATAGGACCAGACAGAAAAATATTATCCTTCCATTTTGGACGCTCCAAACGGCTGTTTTGACAGATCCTCTCTCGCTTGCTCTCCGTTTGATCGAGCGATCGAACTCTCCTATTTATTTTGCTAACACTTGGCCCTGACGTTACAACGAGGGGATATCCACTTGCTCTCGTTATGCAAATCGCTTTCTTTATCGAGATGCTTTTGCATAATAACAAGCGATTGTTTCTTGAGTGAATCCTCCGCGAAAAATTGTTACGAATAAATTTTCTCATCACGTAGATATTTGGAAAAAGTTTGACGTCAACGCGGATCCAATTCTGAATTATTTATTTTTATATACTAAAATTTAATACTGAAAAAAATGTTTTATCAATTATTATTAATTTATATATTAAACGATTAATTATTATGCAGATTTGCTTACAAAATTTTATATTACCTTTAAGATTTAATAGCTGCCGCTAATCTTTATTTTTTGTCGCGACATTCGCGTATATAATTTATCAATTATTATACATTTATAATCTTTGTAGTAAAACAATTGACGTTATACAATAATTGAATTTAAAATTTGCGTAAGAAATTTTTCGTCGAGAATAGAGAACTGATTTGAGAATGACTGGCTAATTGTGAAAATTGATTATTCAACACTTACGTCGATTGGTCGTTTCGCAGTCATGTTTTACATGTAATCCCTCGGATTATATGGGTAGATGTAACTTTAGGCACGATTTGTGATACATCTGCTCTGAGGTGGCTTCAGTGCAGGACGCGTGTCATGGCACGTGCTCGTCCATTCTCAAGCTACCATTTCATTCCTGTAAAGTGGATCAAAGCATTTCGTTGGAAGAATACAGTCAATAAATTGTGGCTTCCAATATAACTCCTCGATGTGTTTTCAATAAAATTCATAATATAATATTAAAAATAGGAATCATTAAAAATGTATTATAATATAAATAACATATATTGTATAAATATATATAATAAATGTTGACACAAAGAAGGCTAGATAGGCAAAATATGCTTTTATTGATAAAGTATAAATTATGTACAATATATTTTCTCCTCCTGAATCGGCAATTCCGTATTACGATAAGAGCACTGGCGGACGTTATATATATA